ATCCGGCCCGGCCCGAGCCCATTAAATTTGGCGAGCCCTACTTGTAACTAAACAGGGCATTAAAGTGATTGGTTACATGTGGATCTTGGGTCAAGCCCTAGGCCGACAGGGCACTCCCTACCCACCATGGGTAGTTAGCAATTAACAAATGCTTGAAATATCATGCTAGGAGCGAAAGGCCCTATGCCCTGAGGGTGGGAAGGTCTTGGTGGCTTGCTCAACTCCACACGCACAATCAACTTTTTGTTCTCTATTTGTAAATTCCGAAATGCTTCGAATAATTTAGGGCCCAAGCCCTTTAATTCAAATTTTTTATTTCCGACCTGTTAAGTAGTTGATTGATTTTTTTTAAAAACGTGGTACATACATTCATATAATTCCAAAGATGAGAATGCTTAGGCACAAATAAATTCTGTAGTTGGTTCTAAAAAATAAAAAGTTTGTGGTTGTGCAGAGGCCTAAATATTTTTGTATATAAATCTATAAATATCTTGATGGGTAAATTTCACTTTACTACTTGGAAGTTGCTCAAAATTCTCACTTTGCTATCTAATTTTTTCGTATAAATTTCGTACCCGATATTTGATTTTTTCTACCACTTTTATACCTCCGTTTGTCAAACGGTTAAGTTATCCATTAGTCACACCCAACCCCAAAAACCACCCCTACCACCTCACTGCACGGGCAGCAACCCAACCTACTCCTCGTCGTTGGCCAAGGATCGATCGCCTCATTTCTCTCTCTGTGTCTCACCCTCTCCCTCTTTCTCTTTGTTGAAGCCAGATCTAGAATCCAAGATTATATCTCTACAATTACCAACACCAAAGAAGTAAAAATCCAACTTAAACCCAAGTTTTAAAACACTGGAGAATAAATTTCCACAGATAGAAAAAACCCATTCTTGCACGGACAAATATTGATTAATGTCTTGTATATATTCAAGAACAAACCATCTTTCACGTTCTGCTAGAAAACCAAGAATGACAAAACCCATATCCAAACTAGCTACAGAGATCAAGTTGGATGGTGATTGTTGGAATTTTTGTGAGTATTTCAAAATACAAAATTATTATTAAATTTATATTTGTTATTATCACTATTTGGACGTGTTCTATTGATATTAATATTGATTTGATCTCTTTTGGCAGTTTTGTTTTGGATTTTAATGTCTTAAATTTTGAGAAAACGTGTAGGCCAAATGTAACTGGCTATGATTTGATTGTGTATTAATTTGATATATTTACACTTCAGACTACACTGCTCAAAGAAGAAGACAGATAAATGATAGATGTGTAGAGAGAGAGAGAGAGAGAAGGAGAGAAAACAACTTTCTATAACAAAATCAAACTTGATATCAAATTCAAGATTCTTTTTAAATATTTCATGAGAAAGAAAATTTTATTAAGAATCACAGTACATAAAACACAGCCAGTATATATTGTGGACAAAAAGTCCACCACTGGCACCAATACATTCACGACGTAGGAAACAAAGCTTACAATACCCAATCAAGCAATGTGCAAAAACCAATACATTGTAAACAACTTCAAATTTTGAACAGCCTTAAAGATGAAGGGGATGACGATGATGATTCAAACCGCACAGGACCGAATTTCTCTGACCATCTCATTTGCTTGATTATATGTCATACAACAACTTGGAAAATGATTTCATGTGCTCTGATTGTAGAGAAATGATCACTGATAAACTCCCATCATTAGTTGCACTTGGTAAAAATAAAGACATGCCGTCAAACACAAACGTAAGACGGCCAGGGCCCATGAAAATGGGTCGACCCCAACCAAAATCAGCGTCATGAATCGGCAACCTAAGCCAACTGTTTATCCGAAGATTTGGGCAACACATTGGCAGAGATCCGTTAACAGGTATGGAAATACTAGGAAGATGAAGCTCAAGATAATCAAGGGCTGATCTAAGATACTCATCGTCCATCCGCACCAAAGCATTGCGAACACAGCTTGCAGCATACGATGTTGGTTTCGATTGGATATCCCCAGCTGTGGCAGTTGGTATGGTTCTGAAAAGGGGATTGCCAAAGAAACGAGCTGGGAGTGGAGGTTGCAGTCTGGACCGTCCATCAATGGAAATTCGTAGGCTGGTGTCTTGATCATCAGGAAGTTTACGTGCCTTGCAAGCACATCTCCAAATATGACCCGTCAAAATCTCAAATGAGGTATACTTGATTGTATTATTATTAATATTCCCGCCGCCACCTTCCTCCTTCGAATTGACTTTCAATTTCAACATGTTGAGCTGCTCCGGCGTCAATCTAAAAAGGGACGTAGTAATATTACTTTTGCTTTGCAGATGTTCATCAGAAGCTAATTTCATTTGTGGTAAAGCTTGGTATTCAATGTGGGGAAATGCAGGTTGAGGTGGGTCTCGAGCACGAAGTAATGTCCTGTCCATGAAGGGTGCTTCAATATTTGTGAGATCACCGCGAGCGATATCAGACCATGTATTTATGAAGTAAACACCAGAAATTCCATCTGCCATGCGGTGGTCCATGCCAACACCAAGTGACACTCCACCACATTTGAAGTACGTGACCTGCATTTTTGAATATATGTGCAGAACCATGTATAAGTATATACTTTTTAAACCCAATTAATTAAATTTGCATGTATTTATAACAATTCCATCCTCTCTCCAGTTGAGAAATTGTGCATGTGAACTATTTTTTTTCTTACCTCAGATCAAGTGTTCCCTTTTCTGTCTTACCAAAAACAAAAAAAAACAAAAATAGAAAGTCGGGCTGGATAGGAGATGGAATTGTTTACCAGTTTTTAGCCGGTAAGAAAAAATTAGTTTAAAGGAGAACTGCTAAATTTACTGGAATATTAAATACCTGCAACACCAAAATGGGATATGAGGATACCCCAGCAGAGTAATCAACGGCGGGGATGAGCTTAAGGAAATCGGGAGTGGGCGCAAAATCCCCGAAATCATTAACAGCTGAGCTGCTCTCCGCTACAACAAAGAGCACTCCCTCCGCATTGCAATTAATCTCCATACGGCCATTCTGGTCATTGAGCTTGAAGCGACCGGCCATGGGGTAGAAGAGCACAAGAGCCTTGCTGAGTGCCTGCTTGAGCACTACCGGGTCAAAGAAGTTTTTCTCACCGCCGCTTGGTTTGTAAAAGTAAACACTTGACGTGTGATAGGGCGGGTACGATAGGTCCGTGTTGGAAAGCCACAGAGAGCCTCGAGGCCTCGATTCCTCTGGTTTCACCATCGTTGACTCACTTATGCTCACTATCACCTTCTCGGCCATTATCTTGTCTTTTTCTATTTCTTTTTCTTATTATGAGAGGAGAAAAATATTACGACCTCTTTCTTGTGATTACAACTTATAACACAAATCCACGGCTACAACAAAAACTAAATCGATCAAACGTGAACAAGGAAATCGAAACTAAGGAAGAGAGTATTAAATCCAAATCTAAGAAGAATTAATTCTTAGAGAGAAACCCAAAGGATACATTTCTAAAGTTGATTACACCCGCCATTTATACATGGTTCTTTGCAAAAGGACTATGACAGCTTTAAGTGTGGATCAGTCTGTAGGTCCACAGGTAGATTGTATTATAGTGTTAGCTGGAAAAAGATTAAGTGCTGTGCAAGTCTGTTTTTCTGCATGGGATCGAGTGATAGCCAATCAAATTGGGAGTTTTAATCTTACCATAATTTAATCACCATCCTACCCATCTCCCTCGCAAGTTGAGCAAACTTGAAGGGATGAATGACTTCCTTTTTTATTATACCCAGAGAAAAAGGGGTTAACAGGATTAATTGCAGCCCCTACAACTCTTTTTCCATTCTGTGACTTTTAACCCTCAACGGGAAACAGTGTTTAAAACACAACCAAATTAGTCCACCAATATAATTACAAAACTTATTTACAACACAAAGTGCCCACCACGTCCAAAACCCAAAAATTTGAAACGAGGGAGAGAGTCTGGATATTAAAAGCATTTTGAGGGGACCAGAAATGATACATATACCTGCCTTGTGGGCCAAGTTTTCTAAGATATTTGTTGGACGTATATATTTTTCCACTACCAAATACTTTGGCTGTCCAACGAACAACCACATACCATTTATATGATATGTACTACTAGGACTTTAATTTCTAACAAAATTTCAATAAAACCTAGCGAACAGCGTGCAATTTTCCTTTGTTTGCGGTTTGAAGAAATATAGATGATATTTTATTATAAAAATCATGTGATATCTAATCCCTACTTGACTACTTTGAGAGAATAGTCACGTACGGCCTGAGATATTTTGTTTTGATTTTGTCTGCTAGGATCTACTTAACTTTTTATATAGACTTGCCACATCAATATAATAAAATCCAAGAAGTCGAGATTTTGAAACTACAACCCAAGAATCAGAAGATAGTATATACTAAGTGTTATTTGTTAGTAGGGGTGGGCGTGGTCAGGTTCGGCCCGATGCCCGATTCTCACTTAAAACCAAAATATAAATCAGTATTATTCACCTAATGTGATATGGTCTAATACGAGTCATGCAAGTGTTGGATACGCTTTCATTGTTGGAATTGACATGTCTTCCAATCAGGTTGCAAAGTCGAGCGAACAAACATGTTCTTATTGATACCGTATCCACTATGCAATTAATACCCGCTAACCCGCTAAAATACCTATATAACCTGCCAATCCTCTAAAATACCTATGTAGCCCGCCAACCCATTTCTTTGTTTTTTCTTCATTTTCTTTAATTTTTTTATTTCTCATTCTCAATCTTTATATATAGAGGCAAAATGCAATAATTATTTTATATAAAAAATAAAAAAATGCAATTACTTGATTAATTTATCAAAATTTAGATTTTTTAATTTATTTTTTATTGCATTTATAAAAAAATGCAATCTTTATATATACAATGTTGGAAGACAATATTTTTAGAATAAAATGAGATGCACTAATCATACCATAACTATTTGGTAAATCATCTATCCGATTGAATATTCATGTCATCCATCTTGGTAAGCAAATTCATTTTTCGAAATAAAACTTGCTCTTGATCTCCTTCAACAAAAATCTTGTAAGATTACTGCAATCAAACAAAAGTAAATGCGTGTATATTCTTGCACTGAGTAAAAAGGAGACAGGGAGTACAAAGAATCTCAAGCTTGTATGACATAAAGATCCTTAAAGGGACATCAAGGAGGCATACTCACATGTATAAAAAAGCTTCGAACATTAGTAAATCACGATATTATCACTATCTTAAGAATGTGAAAAACGTTTGCTTTGCACGATTCACACGGTACAAATAATTTAGGCTTTTTATCACAAAACATCCCTGACGTTTGCGAAACTATCAGATTGCATC